TGATCCCAGGGTCCTGGGATCGAGCCCCGCATCGGGCTCCCTGCTCAGTGGGAAGCCTGCTTCTCCCTCTCCCCCTCCCCCTGCTTGTGTTCCCTGTCTCGCTGTGTCTCTCTCTGTCAAATAAATTAAATCTTTAAAAAAAAAAAAAAAAAGACACTAACCTGAGCCTCTAACTTGGTCTTGGCATCCACGCGATTGCTCTCACACAAGCGTTCCAATTCCTCTGCGTGCTTCACGGCTTTGCGCAGGCGAGACAACAAGTGGAACCGTTTTCGGGGTTCAGTGTTGGCTTCCTGTTTCAGCTGCATGGCATAGCTCCAGGCTCGTTCAGCATCCATCAGAACCAGAAGCAAATACCTAAGCAAGAGAAAACGGGCAACCTGAACAATGAACGCCAAGAGCATCAGACTTTGATACTCCCCAAGGCACGATCTTCAGCCTCTCAACTTCTCCCGACACCCTCCCTGGCTTTCCTCCTCAGAACTACCCTTCTCGGGGCCTGGGGGGCGCAATTGGTTAAGTGTCTGACTCTTGGTTTTGGCTCAGGTCATGATCTCAGACTTGTGAGATCGAGCCCCACACACATCGGGCTCTGCGTTCAGCGTGGAGTCTACCTGAGATTCTTTCTCCCTCTGTCACTGCCCCTCTCACTCAAGCTCTAAAACTTAAAAAATATTAAAAAGAAGAAAAAGCACTACTCTTCTCCCAGTATCAATCATGGCACCCAACCAGCATCTCCGATCAGGCTCCACCTCAAATTTCTAACCACCCACCAGACACAGTTCACTAAAAACACCTGCTACCACCTCAGACTGGGCAAACGCAGACTTACTCCTCCCCAATTTTAGCAAAGGGGGAGCCCAGGCACACAATCTGGCCTCATCTTTGAATCAACACCTCCTCGATCCCAACCCAGCTGAAAACCAAGTCCTTAAGAGACACCATATTGAAGTGGTTAAGAAAAAGGCTCTAGAGTCAGGGTTGGAATCTCAGGACCATCTGTCACTAACTATGTGACACTGGACAAAGTACTAATCTTTCTGTGCCTCAGTCTCCCGTGTAGTAATACATGTAACACACTTACACCAGAGTCTGGCACTTACTAATAAAGACTGAATAAATTAGCCACTTTATTATGATACTGGAAAATCTTTTAAGCTACTGCCTTGATTAATCTTCCTTAAACGTGAGCTTAATCTTGTCTCTTCAAAATAAAGGATCTCATTATCACAGAGACCCCTTCCTAACCTGTTCTCATCAGATTTAACCAATACCTCCTGCTGAAGCCCATCATGGGCTCCATGCTCTAGTTCTCTGTGTCTCCATACACCAAGCTCCCAGCCTCTCTGCTGCCTGAGCAGCAGCTAACTGTCCAGAGCATTGTAATTCCTAAAGTACATTCAGACACCAAGGCAAGCTGTTTCCCCTCACACAGAATGTTCTTTCCTCTCAGAAACCCCTCAAGGTCCAGCCTCCTCAATGCAGGCTTCCCGGTTTCCCTATCAAAACCCCCCTGGGGCGCCTGGCTGGCTCAGTCACTAGAGCATGCAACTCTTGATCTCTGGGTTGTGAGTTCAAGCCCCATGTTGGGTGTAGAGATTACCTAAAAAAAAAAACAAAACAAAACAAGGGGCACCTGGGTGGCTCAGTCAGTTAAGCATCTGCCTTCGGCTCAGGTCATGATCCCAGGGTCCTGGGTTTGAACCTGGCATCCATCGGGCTTCGTGCTCAGTGGGGAGTCTGCTTCTCCCTCTCCCTGTCCCTCCCCGCTCTTGTGCGTGCTTGTGCCCCTGCTCGAGCGCCTCGCGCTCTCTCTCAAAAAAAAAAGACAAAACAAAACACTTTACAAAAACAGGTGGCAAAAGGACCAATTTGGCCCACGGGCTGAAATTTGAGGAACTGGCCTAGAGACCTTTAATACATGCTGCTTGACAGACTGATCCTTCTGCAAATTTAAGAATGGCTGCATTCAGCACCGAAACATAAAACTCTTCTGGAAAATTCACACACAGCAGATTTCATTTAAGATATATGGATTTAAGTTAGCACTTATACACTGAAACTTGCATTCCAGAACCTTACCCAATACCCCATCAGGTTCTAATCACGGACTTTAGCGTTTAGCACTCCGCCACACCTCCTGAAAACGTTACCAAACCTCTCTGAGCCTCAGTCTCCTCATCCTATAACTTAAGAATAGTAAACATGTCTATTCCAGAGAGCTCCTAGAAGAATCACCTGAGGTAATGAAAGGGTTCTGGCACAGTGTCTAACACACAATTGTTCAATAAACGCATTAGCAAGAAGCATTTAACAACTAGCACAGAGCAGTCAATACCTGTTATCAGTCAGAAGATCTTCAGTTATTTTTTTCCCTGTAAATTTGTGTCTGTTCCCCATCTTGAAGTTGAGTGTTTTCCGAAGACGTCTTTGTCTACGGGAACAGTAGCCCCTGAAATAAAAAAACAATTCAGGCAACCCAATAGTACTTTCAATAGCACATTCTACAATAAAGTAAGGTCAAAGGTTTGAGATGTTCTACTTATGGTTACCACAGACACCACACATCATCTTGCAAACATTTAGTTAACTAAAACCTGCAGGGCGGTACGACTGGTGTCACTGGAAACATATTTCAAACCTAATCTGTCAGACGTCATGACTGTGGTGACCTTCTGGGAGGAAGGGTTTGTGATTAGAAGGAGCAAAAGGGAGACTTCTGGGATGCTGGTAATGTCGTCTGATAATGTCTGCTGGCTACAGATTGTGAAAAATTCATCTTTCTGTATACTTTTCTGTATATAAATTATACTGCAATAGAATGGTAAAAAAAAAAAATCCTTCAATAAAAAAGCATTTTTTAAAAAAGGAGAGGGAACAGGGGCACCTAGGTGGCTCAGGCAGTTAACTCTCCAACTCCTGATCTCGGCTAGGTCTTGTGAGTTCGAGCCCCACACTGGGCTCTACGCTCCGCATGGAGCCTAACTTAAAAAAAAAAAAGAGAGAGGGAACAGATAAAAGGGCAGAAAGCTGATCTCTGTAATAACTGAGTGATGGATTCACTACAGTATCTCTACATCTGTTTTTGAAAATTTCCTTAATAATTAAAAAAACCCCTCCAATTAGAAGTCTCCAATTAAAACTTTTTCATTGCTTCATCGTGCCTACATTAACCTGAACAAGTCACCCTGGCTTATAGGACCCTACCCATTCTGGCCCCGCTTATTTCTCCCACTTTATCTTCTACCACTCCCCACCTTGCTCACCGTCACCCAGTGTTGTGGACCATTTATGACATGGCTCACTCCTTTAGAATCTGTAGAGTGTTTTGTTCAGTAGCACTTTTAAAAGTCCGTAGCCAGGGGCACCTGGGTGGCTCAGTCAGTTGAGCTGCCTTCAGCTCAGGTCATGATCCCGGGCTCCTGGGATCCAGCCCCACATTGGGCTCCATGCTCAGCTGGGAATCTGCTTCTCCCTCTCCCTCTGCCCCTCCCCCCCAAAGCCTGTATCTTCAATATAAAATGGTTGGGGGGGCACCTGGGTGGCTCAGTCAGTTAAGCGGCTGCCTTCGGCTGAGGTCATGATCCCAGGGTCCTGGGATCGAGTCCCACATCAGGATCCTTGCTCAGCCGGGAGCCTGCTTCTCCCCTGCCTGCTGTTCCCCCTGCTTGTGCTTGCTCTGTCTCTCTCTCGCTCTGTGTCAAATAAATAAAATACTTAAAAAAATTTTTTAGAAGTCTGGATATTTCTGCCTCCAAAGTATTGAACTATATTATACATTAGGCATCTATTCTATTTTTAAGAGTCATATTAAATTTGTTTTCCAACTTGAAGGCTGTTACAAAGTTTACCAATAAATTATAATGATATTATAGAAACTCCCCTTATATGGGGTGCCTGGTTGGCTCAGTCAGTGGAGCATGCAGCTTTTGATCTTGGGGTTGTGAGTTCAAGTCCCACAATGGACACACAGCTTACTTTAAATAAATAAATAAATAACTGGAAAACTTCGCATTTAACCAAGACTCTGACAATACGGTTAAGTTTTTAAAAAAATTATTAATGTAACTGCTTGCTATTTTCAGCAGAAACCTCCAATGTATCTGCAATATTGTGAGGCAAAATGGATAAAAACGTTGGCTCCTTTTATTCATTGTGAAATTTTAAATTTGAAAAGTACATTTTGAGGACTCAATATAAGTTCAGAGTCAGACTTTCTAAGTATACTTTGACACAGCAAAATAAGTAGGATATTAACAAAAGCAAACCAAGTTTGAAAATTCCACAATAATTTCCATATATCTTACACATGATACTAACCTATACCTCTGAAAATCTCCATGCCGTAAACCATGCTGCTGCTGGGATTCCTTAATAATCTGAAGAACTAGAGCCAAGATTAAGGAAAAGCTTACAATGGTAAGAATCCAAATAAATCAAAACATATTCCCATTAGTCTATATTTGTATCAAACCACAGCATGTTAAACATTTCTGAAATGCTTAGTACACTAATTACTGAAATCTCTCGTAATCATTTTCAGTAGCTATCTTGTCATAGGACAGGGCAAAGCAAGCAGAAAAACTGATTGCCTGAACTGTTACTTTCAAACTAAAAAAGCAGGGTATTAGCCATTGAGGATTACTGAAATCTAACAGCTTAAATAAAGTTGCTGGATTCTAACTACTGATTATAACTGGGATGGTTCTCACTGATTTACACCTGGACCCAGGATTTTACTCATTCAAGCAGATTCAGGTTATAAATGACGTGTACTACTCCTCTATTTGCGTAACTTCCTACATCTGCCAAATCTAATTTTCCTTAACAGGTGTGATGCTGCATGAGCCTATGGTTAGCACATGCCAACCAAACTAGGCCACAGCTTGCATAAAAATATTAGTTCTTCTTTTAAAGAAAAAGCTCTGACCAAACTCTCCATATTAAGAATCATAAAATATTTTAAGATTTTGTACCAAACTTTAGGAAGCCCAGTGACCTTTATCTACAATTTTAGTTCTCTTTTAAAGTTTCCTCAATGCTCTTCTACAGACTTAAGATATCGAACACTAAAAGCACTATTTCAACAACTAGAAGGAGTAAGAAGCTGTAAGGTTTGTAAAGAATCAAGGCATTCTAATATCCATTTAGAACTCGATCACCAGTTCAAAAGTGAAACTCCAATCCTCTGAAAACGACATTAAGATGTCAAGCTAAATGTGTTATTTCAGAAATTCACCTACATCTTCTGCGTTTGTTATTCATTTCAAAAAGCCACAAACTAGTGTCTCAGGCACTCAGCTGTGATACACTCTGATGAAAACTACAGATCCATTCCACCGGATCAACTAAACGAGACTCTCAACAAGATAAAATGCCTACAGGGCTATTAAGAAAGCAATACAAGTGATGTTAAGCTACGTTTATATTCAAAATGGGCAACAAGCTCTTCCTCAGAGCACTCAATCTTTGCCTCCACTGCCAAAGCATCAAACTTTAATTTTTACTATCCGTTCTCCAACAGCTGTCAGACAAAAGTATTAAGCTAAAACGTCAATACTGCAGTTTCCTCTCTTCAGTGCAGTGACTCAAGATGCTAAGACAGCCCAGCTCACTGGGGTGGCCACAGTGTCATCCCCGTCACCAGCCCTCCAAACGGGCAGCTGCGAGGAACTGCAGGAATCTGCCCAATATCCCGGCGCCGCTGGAAAGAAAAGAACGTTCCCCAGGCTGGAAAGCGAATGAGAAGCCATAGAAGACCGGGCGAAAAACAGACCCTGTAACTCTGAGTGCCAGAAAGTAAGCGCGAGAGAAACTGCAACCCTCGGCCTCTCCTGCCCGGGACCTGCCGGGACTCGCCGCCTCTCCCGCCCCCGGCCCTGCATATCGACACGTAGTCATTGCGAGTTAGGCCTGATTGCTCTAGGATACTCTCCAAACTCAGGCTATCCCCGAATTCTTTGTTTGCCTTCGATCCAGCTGAAGGCCGTTCGTTTTCCTTATTTTCCTCTCCTCCGCCACCGCGTCCACCACCGCTACCGCCACTGCCGCCTCCGCTGCCGCCGCCGCCGCCGCCGCCACCGGGAACCTGTTTCTCAGCAGCCATCTTGCCCCAGCGCCGCAGAGCCAGACGGGATAGAGGAGGCGGGACGACGGAGGCGGAAGAGAGCGAGGCCTGCCCCGACGGCCTGACGGGATAGTGGCGGACTTCAGGGCCGACGGCCCCGCCAGCCAGCAGGAGCCACTTGTTGGAGCGCGCCTGCGCGTGGGCTCGGGTTCTTGAGTCGGGGCGGGCGGGGCTGAGGGCTTGTTCACGCGGGGAGCCCCGAGCTAGTGAGATCTTTCTGGGGCAAACCCTCCTCTGGTCCACCGAGGGCGCAGGACTCGGAGATGGCCCCCCCCCCCACCTCCTGCATCCTTGCACGGGGGATCCGGCTCACGTCCCAAGCACAGAGGGCGGGGTGGTTGGCTAAGGACTTTGGGTTTCGGGGTGTCTACCTCCCTGGATACTCGGGAGATGCGGTACCCACGCCACCCTCATGAAGCACTCCACCTGTGAGGGAGTCGCCTCTGCGCCGTCCTCTGGGGCCCACCCTGAGAAAGCCATGGCCAGAGGAATCGCTGGCGGGGTCAGGGGTCAGCAAGCTGAGACCCGGTGTAGGAACTTCTGGGACTGCTGGGGACGTATGTCTCTGGACTTTGGAGCGAGCAGTCCAGCAGTTCAGGAGGGAGAAGTGCTGAGGCGAGGGAGGCTGAATATTTCCTCTGCAATACGGCACTGTGGGCTCTGGAGTCTGAGTCCTGTTTCTCCAATCCTGGCTCCCCTCTTACTGGTTGAGAGAAGTTGGGCGAAGAACTTAGTCTCGCTCTAAACACTTTCCCTTCTCTGTGAAATGGGGATAACCAATTAAGACGGTTTTTATGAAGATGAAATGAAGCAATTTAAGGGCACCTGGTGGCTCAGTTGGTTAAGTGTCTGCCTTAAGCTCAGGTCATGATCTCAGGGTCCTGGGATCTGCCAGGGTCAGAGATGGAGTCCTCACTCAGCAGGAAGTCAGCTTCTCCCTCTCCCTCTGCCCCCCCCCATGTGTTCACGCCTGTGCAGGCCCCCTTTCTCTCTCAAATAAATAAAATCTTAAAAAAAAAAAAGAAATGAGGCAATTGAAAGTCTCTACTCAGTATCACTAATCATTAGGGAAATGCACATCAAAGCCACAATGAACTTTCACACCCATTAGGATGACTACTATATTTATTTTTTATTTATTTTTGGATGGTTACTATTTTTTTTTTTGGATGGTTACTATTTTTTTTAAAGATTTTATTTATTTGGGAGAGAGAGAGCCCACAAGTAGGGGGAGGGGCAGAGGGAGAGGGAGAAGAAAAAGAATAAGAACAGAATAGAAAAAAAGAAAGTAATTTTATTGTTTAAAAAAATAATAACATGTATTGGTGAGGATATGGAGAAATCGGAACCTTGGTGTGCTTTTGGTGCAAATGTAAAATGGCGCAGCCACTGTGAAAAACAATATGACTGTTCTTTGGAAAATTGAAGAATTATGATTTGATCTGCCAATTCCATTTCTGGGTTTATATCCACAAGAACTGAAAGCAGGGTCTCCAAGAGGTATTTGTACATTCACAGTCATAGAAGCATTATTCCCAGTAACCAACAGATAGAAGCAACCCAGTGGCCCTCAAGGGATAAACAGAAAGTGGCATATCCATACAGTGGAATAATATTAAGCCTTAAAGATTTTTTTTAATTTATTTATTTGACAGAGAGAGAGCACAAGTAGGCAGAGTGGCAGGCAGAGGGAAAGGGAGAAGCAGGCTCTCTGCTGAGCAGGGAGCCTGACGCAGGGCTCGATCCCAGGACCCTGGGATCATGACCTGAGCCGAAGGCAGCTGCTTAACCGACTGAGCCACCCAGGTGCCCCCAAATATTAAGCCTTAAAAAGGAAGGAAATTCTGACACAAGCTCCAACATGGCTGAAGCTTGAAAATATTGTGCTACATTAAGTAAGCCCGTCACAAAAAGACTAGTATGGTATGATTCCATTTGTATGAGGTATCGACTGTAGTCAGATTTATAGAAAGTATGATGGTGGTTGGCAGGAGCTGGAGGCAGGAGAAATGGGGAATATTCATTATTGTTTAATGGATACAGAGTTTCAATTTTGCAGGATTAAAGAGTCCTGGAGATTGGTTGAACAACAATGTGAATATACTTTATTTTGTTTATTTATTTATTTATTTATTTATTTATTTATTTATTTATATAGAGAGAGAGTGCAAGCAGGGGGAGGGCAGAGGGAGAGAGAGAAGATCTCCAGCAGATTCCCTGCAGAGTGCGGAGTCGGACAGGAGGCTCAGTCCCACGACCCCGAGATCATGACCTGAGCCAAAACCAAGAGTTGGACACTCAACCGACTGAGCCCCACAGGCGCCTTTGCATATACTTAATATTACTGGGTCGTAGACTTTAAAATGTCCGAGATGGTAAGTTGTATGTTTTGTGTATTTTACCACAATTAAAAATAAATCTGAAATAAGGCTCAGGGCACCTGGCTGGCTCAGTCAGTGGAGTATGAGACTCTTGATCTTGGAGCTGTGGGTTCAAGCTCCATGTTGGGTGTAGAGACAACTAAAAAAAATAAAATAGCTCTTTGCTCAGCGGGGAGCCTGTTTCTCCCTCTGCCGGCTGCTCCCCCTGCTTGTGCTCTCTGACAAATAAAATCTGTAAAAAAAAAAAGTAAATAAAATCTTAAAAAAAAAAAAGTCTCCCAAATGTTCATCAACAAATGAATGGTTAAACAGAATTGGTATAACCATAAAATGGAATATTATTTGGCCATAAAAAGCAATGAAGTACTGGGGCGCCTGGGGTGCTCGGTCGTTAGCATCTGCCTTCGGCTCAGGTCATGATCCCAGGGTCCTGGGATCCAGTCCTGCATCAGGCTCCCTGCTCAGCAGGGAGCCTGCTTCTCCCTCTGCCTGCAGCTCCCCCTGCTTGTGCTCTCTCACTCTCTCTCTCTCTATATATATGTGTCAAATGAATAAATAAAATATTTTAAAAATAAAATAAAATTGGTTATGGTGATGGCTGCATAACTCTGTGAATATATTAAAAACCAAATGCACCCTTTCATTGGGTAAATTGTATGATATGGGAATTATATTTCACTAAAGATTTTTTTTTTTTTTTAGAAAGCAAGTCAGATGGTGTTAGTCCTCTAGTCAAAACTCTGCAGTGGCTCTCCATTTCACTCAGACTAGAAGCCACATTCCTTGCAATGGAAAAATCTGTACATATCATGCCTGTCACCTCTTCTCCTGCCAATTTCCTTATTCATCAACTCAAGCCATAGGAGCTTCCTTATTTAGGGACACAGGCACACTCCTGCTTTGGGATCTTTGCACTGACTGCTCTCTCTGGATTGCTCTTCCCCTAGATATCTTCTACTCTAGGTCCCTCATCTCCTTCAAGTCTTTGTTCAGATATCGCCTTCCTAATGAGATCTGCCTGGCCACCCTTTTTTATTTTGTTTATTTTATTTATTTTATTTAATTTTATTTAATTTTATTATTTTATTTTATTTATTATTTTATTAATTTAATTTTATTTTAAAGTAGGCTCAATGGCCAGCATGGAGCCCAGTGTGGGTTTGAACTCACCACCCTGATATCAAGGCCTAAGCTGAAATCAAGTGTCAGATGCTCAACCGACTGAGCTACCGCAGTGCCTCTGGCCACCGTATTTTAAATTGCACCATCACGGGCGCCTGGGTGGCTCAGTCGGTTAAATGTCTGCTTTCGGTTCAGGTCATGATCCCAGGGTCCTGGGATTGAGTCCTGCATCAGGCTCCCTGCTCGGCGGGGAGCCTGCTTCTCCCTCTGCCTACTCTGCCTGCAGCTTCCCCTGCCTGTGCTCTCTCTGTCTCTCTCTCTAATAAATAAATAAAATCTTAAAAAAAATAAATTGCACCATCACCACTACCACGGTACTCCCAATTCCCTTACCCTGATATATTTTTCGTGCAAGTACTTATCAATTTGTAATAGGTTAATTACTTACTTGAGTTATGTTTATTGTCTGTCTCCTCTGCTAAAGGGAAGTTCACGGAGAGCCTTGATCTTTCTAGAGCTCACTGGTATATCCTAAGGACCCAGAACAATGTCTGGAAAGGGGTGGGTGCTTAATGAATGCTTACTGAACAAATGAATGGCAAGCATCTCATAAATATGAACTGCTGTTATCTTTCTATTCGGTGAACAGGCAGGCAGGCAGGCAGGGCAGGGGTGTGGATAAGGTTTCCCTGCCCAAAGGAATAAGAGTAGGGCTGCAGGGCTGAAATCCTGGGATGGGGGGTGGGGAGTGGAGAGGAACAAGAATGTTCCACACTGGGACCCAATGAACAGGGCAGGGAAAGGTGAAGCAGAGATCAAGCTACAGTGGCAGAAGGTGGTGATTTTCAGAACCAGTGAACCGGGAGCGGGGATGTGGGTCATTCTATAGAAACAGCAACGATTCCGAGTTACAGGCGCTTGATGCTTAATTTGTCAAAATTAGAAACAATTATTTAAGTTTTATTGCAACCTAGACACCCTCCTGGCCATGCAGGAAAATGCTCCTGGGACTCTGCTATTTCCTTAATGTTTTCCCTTTTTGGATATCGGACTAGGGCGAGGAGACAGGAATCTGCATCACTGAGATTCAATTAACTGGCTTCAGGCCACACATCTCATTCCATGCTCACTAGAGCCCCCCCAGAAAGTACTATGATCCCACAGTACTGAAGGAACGGAGGCCCAACGCCAAGGACAGCGACTGGCACACAGAAGAGGCGCGCAGCACGCGGCAGTGCCGTCCACCTCGCCAACTGAGGAAAGCCGCGGCCCCTCCGTCCACCTCCACCCCTTGTCACCTCCCCGCCACCCCTTAGGGGCCGCCCGGGAATCTTCCGAGGACGCCCCCCAAGCCAGCTCCGGGAGGCCCGGCGCGCCGGCCAGGCTGCGGGAGAGGTGTGCGTGGTCCCAGGCGGGCGCTCCGGGCTCGGCGGCGCACACTCAGGCCCCAGGGGTCGGTCCCTCCACCACTCCCGCGTTCGCCGCACAGCGCGGCACAGACCA